CTACAGATGTGGAGAAATGGGCCCCAGAGCCACAGAGCTGGCCCATGGTCAAACCCAGTCTTGTTGCTTAATTACAGCTCTCTCCCTGAGGCTCAGGTTCAGGTTTAGACCTTCCACAGAGGCCTCCAAAGGAATGCGCTGGCTCTGAGATTCAGTACACATCAGCCAGCACCTACTCCCTGCTTTACCTACGTGAGGACCCAAACACGGCTGAGAGGGTGTGAAGCAAGCTGCGGGCACTATCACTAGCGTGTCATCCCCCACATGGACCCCAGCTGGGCAGGGAGCTCTGACACCAGCCCAGCAGGCAGTGGACTCAAAAGCACTCTTGTCTACCCAGACCATCCAGATTCCCCAGATCCCCACTGAACTGCCTGCCTGGATGTGAAAGGCCATCTTCTAAGGGATGCCCACTGGATAGCAGGGCAGAGCAGCTGCCCAGGCTGCCACCTTGACCTGAGCCAGGCCTGGTGGCCTCTCAGACCCTAACCTCACTATCAGAGGGCTGGGATGGGGCAGCTTCTGTCACCATGGCCACCTAGGCTGAGCCCCTCATGGTGCCCTTTGGGGGATGCAGAGACCTGGCTCCAGCGACCACTGCTCACAGCTCTGGCGTTGCAGCCACAGAGGAAAGGAGGGGGTGATGTGGATGAGTGGGCCACAGATGAGGACACCTGGCCTCCTGAGGTCCTTAAGTGCACCCCTTGAGCCTCTTTGGCTTGGGGCCACATGCAGCAGGGTTCAGATGCCAGCACACCCAAGGCCCTGGCTGGAAACCAACAGTCCTGGGAGCAGGAGATGGAGCTGTGTGGTACCATAGGAGCAGGCATGCACACATGTGAACATCCACCCATGCACATGGCACAAGGCAGTCTTTTCTGTGTCCCCATATGAGCTGCTGCCAAGGGCTGGGTCCACGGTTTTCAGGGAGGAGGTGTAGGTCACAGTAACTCTCCAGAAAGATGGTCAGAAGTGGTAGAGCCTGGACTGAGAGGTTCACAACCTGAGGACGCAAACCTGTGGGCAGCCACCCAGCGAACTGGGCCCAGCACAGTGACATCGTGCGTGCAGGCTCCGACCATGTTCCATAGGCCCTGTGAGGCTGCATACGCCACAGTGCATAGCAGACGTGGGTTCCATCCTCTGACCTGGGCCTGAGCCCCAGTGACCCAACCCAAGCATCTGCCTGGAAGAACCCCTCCATCGCTGAGTCTGCCTCCCTCCCTGTAGGTTGCATTAAAAATAATTCAGAAAAATGTCAGAGCAGTATTCCCTTGCAGGGGAGGAGCAGCTACTGGGAGAGGGCCACAGGTCTCTACACTGAGGGCTGTTCTGCGCCCTATGAAACCGACAGGGGTGGCAGGAAAGACTCTTTTCCTATGTTCTCTGAGACTCCTGGTTGGCAACTTTGGGGTCACCAAAACTTCCTGGTGCCAGGCAGCCTCAGAGCACCAACATCCCAGCATGCAGAACCTCAGCCCTACTGTTCCTCTGAAGGACCAGGACTCAGGGTGCAGCTCGGAAGTTGAGCACTGGGCTGACATGCTCGGGGCCAGGGTTTGATCTCCAGCACCAAAGTTGGGAGACAGCTTACAGAGCCTGGACCCACAAGGCTGTGGCCACCTCGAGGACCTTGGGGGACACTGCACCAAGCCACTGCAGCAGGCTTCTAGGCAGCGCCTCATTTGGGGCCAGAGTCTGCTGGCAGGACAACCAGCAGGCAGCAGCAAGGACAGGAGGCTTTCCTGGGAGAGGGCAGGAAGAAAATCTCATCTCCAACACCTGAAATGACCAGGAAAATGATTAACTGGCGCCCTTTCAAGTGCTGCAGCAATTACAGATAACCTGTACTTACACTTTTCACTCAAAAGGCAACGTAGGCCGAGATAGGCATCTATCCTTTCTGCCCATTAAGTTCTTAATAAATTGCATTCTTTTTTTTTTAAGGCAGCACAAACAGCCGTGGGCACCAAGCTCTGGGAGGAATATAGGCTGTCTTGGGCTAAGTCTGTTTATTTTTAGACAGATGGAATAATAAACACCTTGCCCATCTCCACCCCAGTCCACTTTGCTGTTGAGCAACTGACGTCGCCGCCGCAGCATTCGCGTGCTGGCATCCACCCTGTGCATTCTTGAGTAGTTTACATTTAACCTGCATCATCGTAACTAGCCAAGCTGGGCTCAAGGATGGCAGGAGCCACAGCACACACAGTCCCAGGGATGACCAAGGCCACACCTCTGCCTAGGCCTCTCAGTGGGTCACGGGAGCTCCTCCACCCGGCAGGGGACAAGTTCGAAAGGGAGTGTCCAGCTGTGAGGGCTGTGCGGGATAGGTCACTAGGCAGGGGCTTCCAGGCCAGGCCCCGAGCTGCGCAGAGGCCCGGATGTTCCCTGCCACCCACTGTGTGGGCATGAACACAGCCCAGCCAGGATGGCAAGTTCAGTCAAGTAGAACTGCAGCTCCCATTGCCAGAGGAAAGCACTTAGCCCCGTAGCTCCGAAGCCATGGAGGGCCCAGGGCTAACTGCCTCTCTGGGCCACCCAGGAGGACTTTCCTCCTACCTCTCTTCCCAGACCCGCACCCCACATCCAGGCATGCACATATGCTCTCTGCTCCCAGACACCTCATTCCCTGGTCACCAGCACCAGGGCTCACGTCCTTGGAGAGGCCCCGACTGCCACGTGTGGGCTGTTTGTTACTACAACACACACTGACAGGGACACATGCTCACCCAAGACTTGCTGGACAAGGACAGCCAGCGGCAACCACACAGGAGGCCTGGTGGGGACAGCGACTCATAGCCTGGGCACATGACAGCGCAGCCCTGCTGGGAACTGTGGCATGAGCAGAGAGCACCTGTTTTATACTGATGGAGCTGGGGCTGGAGCCCAGGGCCTCGTCACTGGGCCAGAGCCCACCACTATGCCACCCAGCCCTAAGCCAAGGGACTTTTGTGGAGAACCCAAGTCTTGAACCCACTGCCCACCAGGTGTGAGGGAGGCAGTGCCCATAGGAAGCAGTGTGGGGAGCCAACCCAGGGCACTTGTGCCTGGCACATACCATGTGCACAGGATCACTTAAAAATCAAAGGACAGGCTGTCACAGCCATTGCGGTACATTGAGCTCCATAGAGACAGCACCGGGATAAGTGAGAGCCAGACGGGCACTGGGCAACTCTGTACCTCGCTAAGGAAAACCAATAAACATGGGCAAAGGAGATCCTAAGAAGCCGAGAGACAAGATGTCATCACATGCATTCTTTGTACAAACTTGCTGAGAGGAGCACAAAAAGAAGCTCCCAAATGCTTCCGTTAACTTCTCAGAGTTTTCTAAGAAGTGCTCAGAGAGGTGGAAGACCATGTCTGCTACAGAAAAAGGAAAATTTGAAGATATGGCAAAAGTGGTCAAGGCTCATTATGAAAGAGAAATGAAAACTTATATTCTTCCTAAAGTAGAAACAAAAAACAAGTTCAAGGATCCCAATGCATGAAAGAGGCCTCCTTCGGCCTTCCTCTTGTTCTGTTCTGAGTATCACCCAAAAATCAGAGGAGAACATCCTGGCCTCTCCATTGGTGATGTTGTAAAGAAAGCTGGAGAAATGTGGAATAATATGGCAGCAGATGACAAGCAGCCATACAAGAAGAAGGCTGTTAAACTGAAGGGAAAGTATGAAAAGGACATCGCTGCCTACCGGGCTAAAGGAAAACCTGACTCAGCAAAAAAGGGAGTCGTGAAGGCTGAAAAAAGGAAGAAAAAGAAGGAAGAGGAGGAGGATGAGGAAGATGAAAATGAAGAGGAGGAAGAAGATGAAGAGGATGAGGAGGATGAAGAAGAGGGTGATGATGAATAAGTTGGTTCTAGCGCAGTTTTTTTTCTTGTCTATAAAGCATTTAATCTCCCTGTACACAACTCACTCCTTTTGAAGAAAAAAAAATGAAATGTAAGGCTGTGTAAGATTTGTTTTTAAACTGTACAGCGTGTTGTTTTTTGGTTTTGTTTTTGTTTTTTGCATAGTTAACACACTACTGAGTGTATCTTTAGCTAGCCCTGTCCTGGTGGTATTTTCAGTGACCACTAACCTTGCCTGGTACAGTATGGGGTTGTAAATTGGCGTGGAAATTGAAAGCAGGTTCTTGCTAGTGCAGCAGCACAAATTAGTTATATATGGGGATGGTAGTTTTTCATCTTCAGTTGTCTCTGATGCAGCTTATATAAAATAATTGTTCTGTTAACTAATACCATTCTGTAATTGCAAAAAAAAAAAAAAAGTTGCAACTGTTTTGTTGACATTCTGAATGCTTCTAAGTAAATGCAATTTTTTTAATTAAAAAAAAGGGGGGGCTGGTGAGATGGCTCAGTGGTCTAAAGCATCTACTTAGAACAAGCTTAGCAAAGCACAGGGACTGCGGTTCAATCCCCCAGCACCACATGCCAGCCAGCCCCGCCCCCTGGTGGGCTGAGCTGGCCACACACACACACACACACACACACACACACATAAATAAATTTTTTTTTTAAATGTTAAAGAAAAATCAAAGGACAAAAACATGTTTTTGCAAGGCTCTTTCAAAGTGTTTTTTAGGGCCAGGGATATAACTCAGTGGCACAAGCACCTGCCTGACAAGAACAAGGTCCTGAGTTCGATTCCTGGTACCAAAAAAAGGTGTTCTTCACTGTTGCTCTCCCCTAAGGGTGCAGTGCAGCAGGTGATAGGCTGGAGCCTGTGGCGTTGCAAGTGCTTTATCAGCTGTCTCCACACCTCCTGTTGTTCAGGGACCAGGCTCCTCTGAAGGCTGGAACATGCAACCCTGACACTGGAACAAACTGTCCCAAGGTACTTGGGCAACATGGCTCCCTGCGCCTGAAATGCTCACCAAGTTGGCCCAGGAGGAGCCCCTCTTCCTATAGCACTCTGAAGAGGCTCAGGACCCAGAGCAGAGGGGAGCCAGGGCTGCTTCTAGCTGGGACACCCCTCCTGTGTGGCCAGGGGACGCCATACCTGTAGGTGATCCTCACTTCCGTGCCAGGCTCATCTCGCTCCCAGATTAAAGCGATGCTCTCAGGTGCCTTCTGGACGTGCTGATCCAAGCAATTGACTGCACGGAAACAGGAGCACAGGCCTTAACTGCAAGCTGGAGAGCAAGGATGGGGAGTCCACTCCCCAGAGGACCCTGCCCTCGCCCACAGATAGAAGGACTCACCCTCCCAGAGGGAGAGGGAGACATCAGCACTGTGAGAAGCCAGGCACACACAGATGTGGTCACAGGACCACTGAGTATCTGAGGCGGCCCTGGTCCCAGGCCTGGCTGCATTAAGCCCCTACCAGCCCTTCCCATCCTCACCCACCCCTGCTTCCCAGGCTCCTGGGGTCTGTGTGCAGCCCCTGTAGGGCAGACTGCCTGGGCATGCTGGGGGCCCACAGGTGGGGGTGCCTACCAGGGCCAGGAGCCCAACCCTCTCCCAGGTGCTCACTGGCACCCAGTCCAGCGTGGGAAAACACCACCCTGGTTTCCTGGAACACTCTCTCCATTCCCTCCTATAGGCAAGCTCAGATCACACGGCTTCTGTAGAAACCGGTCTGTGCTGCCGGCTGCCCTAATCCTCACCTTTCCGACACCAGGCACCGATCATGAGATTTCACACGTGAGCCCCTCTGGCCCTAGAAGCTGGCTCCTGCCCACTTCCCACCCCTGGCCCAGGCACTCTGGGGCAATGAGCACCGTGGGGAGCTGGGGGCAGCTGGCACCTCATGTTCAGAGTGTTGTGTGTAAATTATACCTAAAGCAAAGAATATCTGTGGAACTGTGACCCCGAATGCTAGAGAAAGAAGGAAAAGGGAGCCACTAAATGGGTGTGAAATTTCAAGGTTTACAAGAGGGGTCAGGGTAGAAAAGTGCTCAGCTCCCATCTCCCTACACACACTGCATTGTACACTTCCGAATCTGTTAAAAATGTGTTCACAAGGTAGATGCAGGGGCAAATGCCAATGCTGCTGACTAACACAGGGAATTCCTCCAGAGGAAAAGTGACAAAGAAAGAGAGACTATGGACAAAGGAAGCAAACTGGTAAAGGGCTCAGAGGTGGGCTAGAGGTGCACAATCAGTTGGCGCCAGTGCACATGCATGTGTGAAAGTGTGTGTGGGTCCATACGTAGGTATGTGATGTGGACAGGGTATGTAAATGCACAGGTGTGGGGGTCTGTGTGTGTGCATGTGTGTGCATGTATGGTGGTGTGGGTGTGCGTGTATGCATGTGTGTGTGCGCAGCTGTGTGTGACACTCGCCAGTCCAGGAAGGGCTGACACACACTCAACATTTTTCTTGGGGCTTGCTGAAGGACAGCAGGTGCCCAAACATTCTTCTCACTGGAGCATGACAGCTCATGGTCAGGTGAGCCCCCCTCAGAGCCAGAAGGTCACGTGCTGGGCAGGGGGCAAAGCAAAGTGGGGCAGGGCCCTGCCACAGGTGGACAGCACCAAGTGTGTGGGGAGCTGACTCACCCGCCATTTCCAGTATACAGGCAGCTCGGTCCATGAGGGGGTTCTGCCAGAGACCCCATAGAGTATGGGGAGCCCCACCCCAGGCCCTCTGCACAGCCCCCTTACAGCCCATGCCTCCTGCCCCTGGGCCCTAGGCCTCCCTCTAAGATGTCTGTTGCTGGCCACATGGCTTCAGGCCAACTGTCCATGTCATGTCAGTGCAGCTGCCCAGAGCCCAGAGCAGAGGGTCACAGAGGCAGGGATGGCTGCATCGCGCCCTCCAGCTGCAAGGTGACATGGGAGTCTAACCAGCCCCTGTGGCCCCACTGTACATCCTCAGGGAGGGAACACACTTTTTCTGACTTTGAAACTCAAACAGAAAGTCTCATTTGGGACCAAAATTGGCACATCTCAAACCTTGCAGGTGTTGGAACCTCAGAACTTCCGAGCCGTGGCTGTGGTTTCAGGGCCCATAGGGACTCAGCTCCGAGGTGTACACCTGACCATTCCACTTTGCACATAGGCTCCAGGGCTTTCTTTTCCTTTGGGGACCAAAGCAACCAAACACACTTGCAAGTGCTGTGTAGCCTATAATCCCAGCACTGGGAAGGCAGAAAACAGGAGGATCACTACAAGTCTAACCTGCATAGTGAGATCCTGTACCAAATGCAAAGGCTGCATCAGGTCCCCACTCACTGGTCAACAGCCCACAGCCATGGCTACAAACGGGGTCTCCAGCCAAGCACCCACAGGTGCAGACAAAGTCCTGACGACTTCACTGTCAGTCTGAGGAGAAGCGTTCCTAACCCAGGAAGAGCCTGCCTACAAGAGCTCCGTGTCTCCCCTTGCAGGTGCAGAAGGGGCCTCACAAGAGGAACACAAACAAAACAACCATCTCTGCTTATAGCCACCACAGTGTGGGGTCTGAGGGGACAGCTGGCTCTCAGCACAGGCTTAGGGTGCCTGCTACTGTCTGAATCCAGGATGGACAAAAGGACAAGTGAAGGAGAGAAGGAAGGAAGGAGGAAAAAAAGGGAAAGGAAAGACAGAGGGATGGACAGAGGAAGAAGAAAATTCTTACATCTCTATATTCAAAAAATAAAAAATAAAAACTTCAAAGACTTGGGAAGTGGGACAAGAAAGTTTTGTGTGTGCACACATTTCTAAGAAGAGCTGGGCAGGACCCAGTGCAATTCGAGGTGAAGCCCAGCCCCACCTCCTGCTGCAAGCCTTCCAAGCCTCTCTGCCAACCCCATGGGCACAACACTTACTTCCTTCTTCTGCCTGTGGTTCCCGTTCTGGTGCCCACTCTATCCAGTTCACAAGTCCCTGGGAACCCCGCAGGAACAGCAGAGGGCTTGCCTCCCAGTGTCCCCCAGCAGTTTAACCACCTTGAGTAAGATGCCCTGGTCAATCTGCTCTTTACTGCTAATGAATATCATCACAGGAGGTCACTCGGCGACTGAGCTCTTGCCAGGCCTTCTCTGCCCCATCCGCTCCACTCTGTACCCTGGAACACTTAGCTACTATTCAGAAGGAAGCATTGCCTAATTCTAGAATGGAGGAGGAGGAGGCAGTCAAGATCCTTACCCTCCATGGTTGCAATTCTGTCCTTTGGTAACAGTGTAGGAGCCATTCCTCATTAGAATGTGGCTCCACAGCCTTGGCACTTTCTGGGTCGTTTACTACCTCCCTTGAGCTGAAGCCTTTATTTTCACATCTGCATAGGGGGGCCACCAACCCCTACCTGCTGATGTCTTGAGGGACAGCTGAGGTCCCTGGAGTAAAGCACCCTGTACTTGGCTGTCTCATTGAAGTGCAGGTCCTGCCCTGGGCTGATGCCTGTTGGTGGGCCATGATGTTTGCTTTCATTGACAAGAGTGACAAAAGTTATTATTCCCATCATAAAGATTGCAGGTGCGAACACGGGAATTTTCAAGAACTCTTTTTTTTTGGCGGTGCTGATGGAAATCAGGGCCTCTTGCCCAGCAAGCAAGAGCTCCGCCACTGGGCCACACCCCCAGGCCTAGTTCACTGATTGGTTGTTTAAATATATCCCCTCACACACTGCACACTGGGAAGTGAACCCAGCACACGAAAATACAACCTTAATCAAAAGAAAACAGGGAGTCAGTATTCACAAAAGGATTCACAATGGTTTTCTTTAAATAGCAAACCTCGTGACCCATTTTAAGATGTGACATCAATCGCAAAATATCATATTTGCCAACTTTCCAGAAGCAAATGCTATTTAAAGTATATCAGCCTTCTGATGAGGGAGAAGAATCCAGAAACACTTCCAAAGGTCCTGCCACCCAAGACTGGGGTCAATTTCCAGCTAGAGTTCCTAAAAAACCTTACACAAGCCATTTCCATCACTGGGAAGAAGTACCAGCATGTGGCATCTAGCTGTCATCGATCTGCTTTCTGAGTGGCTGGAGGCCTGTCACAGAGGAGACACTCCAGCTGAAATGCCCCCAGACCATGAGAAAGGGTTGCGGGGCAGCTCAGAGGTAAAGCCCTTGCCTAGGCGAGAGGCCCTGGGTTCCCCAGCAGGGAGAGCAGAGAGAGAGACAGAGACCGACAGATAGCTCAAGGCTCCATTAAAGAGCCAGTTGGCATCTTGTTTGAGAAAGAATACATACTTTTAAAATAAGCCAGGCTCGAAATTGGAGTTCAGAAAAGGGTTTCTCTGTGCTTTGAATGCAGCCCACAGTTGCCCTGGGGTTCTACATTTATAGCATCCTGACCTCTGGAGCTTTTAGCATCTGTCAAGCTTTACAAAGAACAGAGCCAAGTTTCAAGAATGGGAAAGATTCCTTCACAACTTGACTTTCCAGAGCAGCTTCTGCAAAGCAGCAAGGAGGGCTTGGTGTCCCTGGAGCCTGGGACACCATCACACAGTCCCAGTCATCTGAGCTCAGCTGCGCTTCGAGGGGGATGTGTGGCTTCCAAAGCCTGCCTCCCACCCACCCTCGGCTAGTCAGTTCCGATAGAGCCCAGCACTGGGCCGGTCAAGGCCTCTTCAAGTGCTTCATTAATAATTAACACTGGCTGCTGATTGGACTGCAGGGTGCCCAGGGCTCTACAGCTCTTATCTAATCCCAAGAAGAGCTCCATGCTGGGGGTGCTGATAACCCAACCCCACTGATAAGATAGGGAAACTACAAGCAGATGGCCCTCCTTCCGCAGCCAGAGGGGCTTACAAGGCCTGCCCTTACCTCTTGGGTCTCCTGCCAGGACAGTGCCTGGGCCCCACTGACTTGCTGTGAAAAGCCTTGCATAGTTTTGGGGGCAAGTCTTGTGTGACTCAGTCAGCCAGGCTATGTTGGTCCATTTTCTGTTGCTATAAGGAAATATTGAGGTAGCTCAGTTTTGGAGGCCTGTAGGCCCTAGTCCTGCTGACAGAGTCTCAGGTGGCACAAGACATCACATGGCAGGAGGCAGGGTGCTCGTACTTGTGGGGTGTGTGTGTGTGTGTGTGTGTGTGTGTGTGTACTCGTGTGTCTTCTGCTCTCTTCCATCTTCTTACAAGGTCACAGGGTCTCACCATGAGGGCAGCACCCCATGACCTCACCAAGCGCTGATCACCTCTGAACACCATGGTGGGGTTAAGTTCCCACCTTCTTAATACCACATCATGGAGACTGAACTCTAGCGCAGGTCTCTAGGAGACGAGCCACATTCCAACCTCAGTGCCAACCCAGGCCCAAACTGGGGTGGAAGCCAGGATCACCTCAGCCCTGTCCAGAGTTCTGACCCACAGGACCTGGTGAGTGGTGGGCTTGGGGAAGTTCCAGGGACAACAATAATGACCAGACCACAACTCAGTATGCATGGTCCTTAGTTTACAGACAGGAAACCTGCAAGCCCAGCAAACAGAAAGGCGAGTCACAGTTCAGACCTCTGAACTGCCCTATGTTGCGGTGCCGCCCCATGCATGCTTGCTTGGGCTGTGCCATCTCCAGAACACAAATCCCAGTGTTGCCGGGCTTAGAGAGGTTTCACCTGCCCTGGCTTGGGGCACAGACTGGCATTGGCAGGCCTGAGGGCTGGCACCAAAGCACAGAGAGCTGGCGACCACTTGTTACTTACAGGCAGTGGGTCTGCACCAAAGTAATCCTGCTGCCACTATGGCCTCAGACTACACTTTGAGAAATGCATCTAGAAGTCCCTGAAGGGGGGATGCAAGATGCAAGAGACCAAGGTTCTTCTGGCTCCTTACGCTCAGCAGACAGGGCCAAAACTTCTCCACACTTCCCAGCTTTCTCTGCTCCTGAAGCCTTGCCTGTGACAGCTGAGGGGAGAGACACCCTAGCTGAGGCAGGACAGCTACCAAAGGCTGTTCTGCTACAAGTTCATTTTCTAAAGCTGTATCTGGCTCAGCTCTATCAAGAGAAGGAGGTGGAATTCCCGGTTCCACAGCGGACCCTTGACGCCACCCCTTATCAGTTGAACCCTGAAGGAGCCACCCATGGCCTCCGCCCACCAGGGAGTCCAGAGGCAGCTCCCACAGGACCTGCTCCATGCCCTGGCCATGCCCTGGCCAGCCCACTGCGCCTCCCCTCAAGGGCACATTCCACCCCCTCTGCACACCCAAGGGTTTCTCCTTCCCTGCTGGTTCAAGGACAGTGGCTTCCGACCCAACTGTAAAGAAAACACTATTGAGTAAGTGACTCACTTTGATTAGACCTGCAACACAGGACAAAATATGAAAGAAAAAAAAAATGGTCCAGAGATCCTTTGAAAAACAGATCCCTGCCTGTGGCTCCACATCAATTTGTGAATACAACTAACACTTCTGCAGCTGCCCATTCCCTGTGAGCCTGGGCCAGATCCACACCTCCCACGCTGTCCTGCCAGCCTAAGGAGAAGAGCACGTGGGCGATTTGACTAGAGCCAGACCGAGACCAGGAGAAGCAGAGTAAGGGGAGGCTGCATCCAACAGCAGTGTTGCCTTGAGCAGGGTAGAACCCTGCCAGAAGGACCCGGCCCAGCCCTGGACCCCTCCCCAATACCCCAGGGCTGAGGCCTCCACAGCCCCCTCCTGCCTATGCAGCCCAGGCTGCTTCTCCAGCCTGGTGGGAGACCTCAGGTGGCCCCAGCCCAAATCTCAGCCAAACAGCAGGCTTCAGTAGAGACCAGAGAACCTGGATCTGGTGAAGCTGGCTACTGGGCTCTCCCCCAGCAGGTGTCAGCAGGTGTGGGAGACCGCTAGTCCTCCCAGACCAGACCGACCAAGAACTTCCGCAAAGTGATAGCCCACTTTGACCACTTGCGCGGTGCTCTTCTCCGGGACCCCACAACCAGCCCACTCTCTTCCCAGGACCCCTCTCCCGGGACTCCTGCGCACATAATTCTCCCTGGACCCCTGCACTGATACTCCCCAGGGCAGCTTTTGCAGATGTTTGTTTACCAGGCTGTTGGTCCCCAAGAGTGTCAAGTCGTGGGTGGTGACAACTGCCAGGCGCTTTCCGTTTGTCCTGCAGCCGCTGCCTAGCGCCGCTCTACACCCACCTGACAGGGGCTGCCCAGGCTCCCGCAGCTCGTGCCCCGTGTACGACTTGGGGACGGTGCCCTGGTCCCACTTGGGAACAGTCCCCGCAAGGCTATCGTGGACTGAGGCACACAAAGGGAATTTGGGGCATGCAGCTGGGACCGGCGGGACGGTGGGACTGCAGGACGGGGTGTAGGACCCGACCCTCAGGACTCTGTGCCCACTCACCGGACACGTTGAGCCGGCCGCCTAGGAACCAGCCGATCTTGCCGCTGCCGAAGTCGCAGTCGCAGACTGTATGGTAGGGGGCGTCCCACACCAGCGTGTCCCGCGCCAAGGGCCCCCAGAAGGCGGCGGGCTCGCGGGCGGCCTGCGCACGGCGCGCGGGGTATGAGGCTGCCCGGGCCTGGTGGGGCGCCGCGTGCGCCCCGCTACCCGCGCGCGCCAAGACACCCCGCAGCCTGCCCACACCGCGGCCCAGGCTGCGCGCCGCCATCGCTCACTCCGGGACGGGTGCCTGAGCCTCACGCCTCAGCCTCAGCCCGCCCAGCCCCGCCCCACTCGGGTCCCCACGCACCACCTCCACCCGGCCGGGAGAAAGGAGTGGCGAGCGGGGGAGGAGGGGGAAGGGAGGAAGCGGTGGTCTCGCGCCCGCCCGCCCTTCGGGGTGGTTTCTGCTTGCATGCCCGCGGAACCTCGACTTTCTCTGCCCTAAGCAAGGTGGGGGCGCGGGCTGCGGGCACCGGGCAGAGGGCGGAGCCAAACTCTGGGACCCGGGCCACGCGGGGTGGCTCTGCGCCCCTCAGGCCCAGCGGATGCACAGCCCAACTCGGACCCCAACCATCGCCCCACGATCTGTCCCCCACCCGCTGGCCTGGGCCCTGCGTCCGTCACTTCCTGCCAAGAAAAAGTGAAAGACAACAGCAGCAAGAATCCGTTTGCTAACTTGCATGACTTTGGCGCCGTGAGGTTTTTCTCCTGTTTGGGTGCCTGGGGCCAGGGTTCAAACCCTGACGTTTCTAGCTCCAGGACTTTGCTTGGTCCAGAGCTGCAGGGCCGAAGCAACCCTCCCAGGAGTAGCAGGGCAGATCCAGCCTCAGATTCTGCCCCTTGGGGGCGCGGGTATGGAGCTCTACCGAAGGTGGAGGAGGTGTTGTAGAGTGGCCAGAAGCAGACTTGTCTCTGCCGGTTCTGAATTATTTCAACACCCAAGAAGTAAACACACAATGCACAATATACACACTGGGAAGGGGAATTTTAGAAAACTGGTTTGTTGAGTTCTTTGTGCTGTGAAAGATCCCTTCCTGTTGGCTGTCACCATGAAGCTGACCAGAACAGAACCTAGCCTTAGAGGAGCTCCAGCTGGGCAGGAGCAGCAGCGCATGCCCCACATGGTGACAGAACTCAACCTGCATGTCCACATAGATGAAACTTATTCCAAGCCTGGTATGGAGGTGCACATGTACAACTCCAGCATTCCAGCAGTCTGAGGCAGGAGGATTGCAAGTTCAAGCCCAGGCTAGCCATTTTAGTGACTTAAAGAGACCCTGGGTCAAAATTAAATTTTATCAAAAGGACTGTGGATGTAGCTCAGTTTGAAGACCCTGGTTTCAATCCCCAAAAGGTTTGGTATGTGTTATCCTAGTCAGAGCAGGCAGAATATACCTACAGTCCAACTACTCAGGAAGCTGAGGCAAGATTACTTAAAGCCAAAATAAACCTGCACAACATAACAAGATCCTGTAACAAAACAAAACAAAATCAGATCAGACCAAATCAGGCCTTAGCTAGGGCCAAAAAATACACACACACACACACACACACACACACACACACACACGAAACAACAGTAACAGCAGCAGCAACAAGAAAAACGGACAAAAAGAAAAGGCAATTACCTGGTACTATCAATCCCCTCTGATTATCAGTCTCCTAGTGGACCAAATAAGGAAGCTGAACTCAAACAAAGAATTATAAAGAGCACAGGGCTGGCAGGCAGAAGAGGAAGGCTGGCACCCAGCACTTGGCCCCAAAACCCATTTTAAATCAACTTATAAAATTGAGAACTAAGAAAGACTGTGGTATGGCAATTGGTTCCAGAGATGGCGAGGCTGCCCCCTGCCATGTACATGACAGCTGGCTGTTCTGTCCCAGAGCCCAGGCTGGCAGCAGCCCTGTGTGGCAGTGCAAGTTTAGCCCACCTGAGGGCCTGGCGTCTGCACGCACACACACACATGCACACCTGCACACACACACACACACACACACACACACACACATGCACCAGGAGCCCAGCTCCCCCTCAGTCCAGGCCAGCCTCTTTGTTTGACCAGCAGAACCTGGTAAGAGGAGTGCTGTGACCACTCTGGGCCACACAGGACTCCAAGACTTGTGAGACAGAGACCCCTGAGAATAGCTCCTAAACTCAGTGAGACCCCCAGGGTCTTCTCACTCATCTATAACCCAAAAGATCTGCCCAGTCTACTCACAGAACTGAGAAGTCATCAAATGTCATTAGTGAGAAACCATTGCTCTTCCTCTTCCTGTCAGCAGCAGAAAATGGTTGGCTGCTCTCTCAACCCAGAAAACCCCACAAAATCATGCAAGTCAAGAGACTCAAATCTTTGCGTTCACTTTAAGAACATGCATGAAACTTCCCAGGCCATCACGGGTGTGCATATCCGAAAGGCCACCAAGTATTTGAAGGATGTCACATTAAAGAAGCAATGTATGCCATTCTGGAGTTACAATGGTGGAGTTGGTAGGTGCGCCCAGGCCAAACAGTGGGGCTGGATACAGGGTCGGTGGCCCCAAAAAAGTGTCGAATGTTTGCTACACGTGCTTAAAAACACAGAGAGTAATGCTGAGCTTAAGGGTTTAGATGTAGATTCTCTGGTTATTGAACATATCCAGGTGAACAAAGCACCCAAGATGCGCCGCTGCACTTATAGAGCTGATGGCTGGATTAACCCATCCATGAGCTCCCCTGCCATATTGAGATGATCCTTACTGAAAAGGAACAGATTGTTCCCAAACCAGAGGAGGAAGTTGCACAGAAGAAAAAGATATCCCAGAAGAGACTGAAGAAACAAAACCTTATGGCATGGGAATAAATTAAGCATAACATTAATGCTGTTGTCCAAAAAAAAAAAAAAGGATGTCATCAGAAGCCACTAAATGCTGGTGGGCTTGTTACTCAGCTGTCAACAGCTGATACAACTTCAACCAGAAATGCATGGCTTTCTCTTACTCACTCTCTGAGTGCCTGGCCTCTAGGATGCAGCATCCAGCTCTCTGAGCTCCATCTCTCTAGTGGGTATCTGCAGCTGGGACCTGTCCTTCCAATCACAGCCTCTATTCAAAGTGCAGTCACCACACAAGCATGTCTGTGACAAGTCTCCCAGGTTATGGGATGGAAGATACACTTCCTGTGGCCAGCCATGTCCCCTGGTCAGCTGAGGGCCCTCCCTTGAGCACACCATCTGTCACCTGGCTTCAGTGTATCAGCAGCACTGACCCCATCCTGTCCCTTCTTATGCCAGCCACACCATTTCCTTTCTGAGTATCCAGCGGGCTCCCAAGAGCTCCCGCCCTGCTCTGCAGCCTTACCAGCACCCACCACGGTTCCTCCAACACAAAGGTCCAGGCTGGAGTGCAGCTCTGTGACAAGCAACTACCCAGCATGTGCCAGGCCCTTGGCCCCATCCTCTGAGCCACAGAACGACAAAGATCAGATGAAGTTCTGCAGTTCAGAGCAATCAAAAGTCTCCTGGCTTCCCTAAGAGGACAGGCCTCATCCTGAGCCTGGTAGACGGACACATCCTCAGGCCTCAGGCTTCGAGGTCCTGTGGCCTCAGGCTCAGCTGGCACCTGGCAGAGCCACAGAACACTGGGCCCATCTCTGACCTGTTCCATCAGAGCCTGTATTTAACCTGTGCCCAGGAAAACTATGCCCACATTTGAGTCTGACAAATGCCCCTGGCTGGGCCTGGGTACTCTACCACTTGTCATCCTAGCTACCGGGGAGGCTGAGGCAGGAGAATCATTTGAGCCCAGGAGTTCCAGGCCAACCTAGACATCTAACAAGATCCCATCTTGAAACAAAAAAAAAAAAAAAAGAAGCAACCATGTGGCCTCCTTTCTCCAGCCTCCGCTTCCAGGATCCATCTCCTATCACCTCCACCACCCATCTGAGGCTCCAGCCACTCAGGCCTCCTCCTGCCCCTCCATCACCAGGACTTGGCCCCAGGACTTTAGCACATGCTATTCTCCTGCCTAGAGTCTCTGCCCCAGAGCTTCACAACCCCCTAAGCTCTTTCAGGTCTCTCCAAACACCCTCAAACCCACGAGGTGCTCTCTGCCCTCTTCCTGAAGCCAGGCCTCAGCTCTCAGCCCTAGTCCCAGCCTTGACTTTATTCTTTCCATACATGCATTTGCTCTTTGGTTTCCTGCTTCTCCCAGCAGGAAGAGCTCTTTAGGAGAAGCAGTGGCACTGGCCATCGTGTGAGTGTGTCTGCAGCAGAGAGAAGCGTCCAGCATGTACTGGACTAATGTGAAAGACATAAGCAAAAGGCACCTTCAGGGTAGCTTGGATGCACAACTGACGCCATCTCTTTCCTTCACCTTTGTTTTCTAAGTCTCCATATTCTCAGTCACAAAGGACACCGGATGACTTGTTTTTCATCTTTTGGTGCTGGGGCTGGAATCCAGGGCTGTGTGTATATCCAGCACATGCCCCACCCCTGAGCCTTGCGCCAGCCCCTCGGCTCCTCTAACATCTGGAAGCATGACCTCTCCAGGCTGGATAACAAGAGGCAGCTGTGTGCACAGCAAACACTTCAGAGCTGACCAAGGGGCGTGGAGTTTTGCTTTCTGCCGCCTGGTGTGCTCTACAGCCCCCACAGGAAGTGTGACTGTCCCAACTGAGGCCACAGTCTCCCAGCACTAGAAGGTAGATGTCCCACGGCCTGGTCCCTGGGGTCCTCACCAAGCAGAGCAGTTCTTCCCAGAGGACCAGCATGGGGGAGGATCCTGAGGGGACCCAGGCTGCTCTGCTACCTCAGGGCTGGGGATCCTGTCAGAGGTGATTCCTGACCCCTGAACCCAGACATGAAAGCTACCAGCCCCACTTTGCTTGGCAAACAAGCTCGAGGCCACTGGGCCAGGCCGCCTCTGCCTATTGAAGGAGCAGCTTGAGGGTACAGTCCAGACTCCCCTTTGTGTTACCTTCATCATTCCTGCCCTGCCTGACTGTAAGAGGCAGGCATTTGTTTCCTTCTGAGGGTTGAAAGACCTTACTGGAGGGCTGGTGAGATGGCTCACATGCCAGCACCACATGCCACCAGCCCACTGGTGGGCTGAGCTGGCCACACACACACACACACACACATAAATTAATTAATTAATTAATTAAAAAAAAAAGAAGACCTTACTGGATTATTTCCAACTCCAGAATGGGACAGCAGCATCCCAGTAGGTAGAGTAGAGCAAGTGGACACAAGAAAGGAAGGCCCAAGAAGGCAGGGGCACAGCATGAAGCAACCTGGTGGCTCCTGTCAGTGCCTGCCATTCCCTGTAGCCAGCATCCTTTGATTGGTGCTGGCCTGTGGGAAGTGGGCTGTGCTGTCTCTGACCCTGAGGTCTCCGGAGGTCAAATAAGCAGCCCCTGCTTCAGCTCGGCAACATGCATGTTAGTGTAAATGACCTCATCTTCCTTTTTCAGCCTGATCAGTACAAGAGCTTAGTCCCAAACAGTGGCCTTATGAGGCATTTGTCTAACATAAGAAATG